TGCCTCATGAAACTTCCCCTGTTACCTTCATTCCAAGTGGAAGCTCCGCATGCTCTTCTTTACCTAAGGTGATGCGAGCGTGACCCTAGTTCTATCAAGCTTCAGTTTCATTACTTTGCTTTATGCGTATATTACTAGTAACCGTAAACCAGAGCACAGAATTAATGACAGCCCAAAATATCCCATCAACAAACTGGGCTCCAGAAAAGGCCACGGGCAGGGGGCGCGTGTTCAGCGAATGTATGTGAATACAAAGAATGTTTGAGAAACAGCGAAGCAGTCATTCTGTTATTCATCCATTCTATTACTGTCTTTACATCATTTGTATAATTGCTTTTCACTGTGTTTGAGATTGTGATTGTAGTTGCTTCAATCTTCCGTATTTTCTTATGGCAATCACGAAGAGTATGGGCATGATGATCAGAATCAGAATCGCCGCTATTATTGCCAAAATGAAGAATGCCAGCCTGAAAAGAGGTCTTTATCAGTCAAAAATCAGTCGGTCTGACACCAAACACCATGAACCTCACCAAAAGTGATCGTCTTTTTCTTTTGAGGCTTCAGGATTCTGGTAGTCTTGTGGGTTTTGCTCGAGAGCGTCTAAAAAGAGTTGTTTAATCGGAACCCCAAGGTTCATACCAATGAGGATATACATAGTAGCGTCTAATGAAACTGGTAAGGGATCAGGGGGATCTTGTCGAATTATCGAACATATCGTAGGGAGACGAGCTTGCATGAAAGGAAAGTCATTGAGGTTGTGAATTATGAAGTTCTGAGTCTTTCTTTGTTTTATATAAAATTTCCTTGATGAAACACTCCCTATAATCAGTTTGAGAACTGAGCCTTGATTCATCTGGCGTTCGTGCTGTGTAGAGATATCCTGTTATGGAGACGCTTTGGAGCCAACTCGATATGCCCCCTCGGTTTTTCGAGCATGCTGGACAGATTCGGACCATGAATTGTGGCTAGACACAGGAAGAAGGTAGACGGGGCCACACGCCGACGAGGTGAATCCTGTTCCTCAAGCTGAGGATAGATTTTACTCGGTTTGGGAGTCCGAACTTCAGAGTAATTGTCAAATGTAGTTGAGATCGGTCAGAAAAAATAGGACCAATCTCTACTGCCTCGCGCAACCACCCCGAAGTAATTCGATTGCATTAGCGTTGGCACCCCCGGCAAGAAGGTGGTTACTATGCAGGCTCCCGCTGAGACCAGCTGCATAGTTTGGTAATCCTGAAATATAGCAGAAAAATAGTGTCCAAGTTCGACTGTCCATAATTCTCGGCATGCTTCTTTACAGTTTGAGGTTATCTTTTAAGCTATGGAACCGAGATTGCAACAATATTTTATTGAGCTGACGTTTCGGTGCCTTCACCTTTCTCGGAGCCTTTGGAGCTAGTCGACCTTTGTGATCCACCGATCACAGCAGAGAAAGGCTATGTGTAAGGATAGAGGGGTGGATAGAGGAGTATATGAGTTAGGGGCCTATTTTGCAGTGCCCATGTTTTTAAATACGCGAGAAAGGCTAGTAAAAGCTGTAGGACCACATTCGGGTAAAAGAAATAACAA